ACCCGAGTGCGTGCTTTGCTTGCCTCCCTGCCGGCCGGACCCTGCCAGGATCTGCCTGCAGGCCATTCACTTTCCTCGCCTGCTGGCTGCCCCCCGTTGCTGCAGGTACACCGAGGAGGAGCGCGCAGAGCTGGCCCGCAAGTCCCCGCAAGCGCCTGCAGGACAAAACGCTGAAAGTCGTATGACAGCCACCTGCGCAAGCTGGAGGTGACCCTTGCTTGCCACAGGCAGCTCGGCGCCGCCAGCGCACCAGCCAACCAACCCAGCTATGCCCCGCCCCGCCAGGTAGCACCAGCCTGCTGGCCTGCCTGGGCCCGCCCCCCGACCCCCCTTCCCCCTGTGCACATGTAGGCCTTCTGCAACATTCAAGGCTTCACCCTGGCAGCAGCGCAGGACGCGATGCAGGTGGTCACGATCATGGCAAAGTTCATTGCCTGGGTGGCGAACAACATGCCTTGCTTCAACTACAGGGGGAAGAAGGAGTCCATGGTAAATGCCGCCGCCCACCACCTGCCCCACTTGACACTCGTGCCAGCCCTGCACTTGCTTGGCCCGGCCAGCCCCTGCCTGCACCAGCCAACACCTTGTCTGCATTGGTGGCTGCAGTCATTCGGCCTGCTACGCGCCGTCCGCAACGCGGCTGTGCTGAAATACAACCAGTTGTGCATCAGCAACGGCTGGTCTGATGCCAGGGAGCTGATGGCCACACGCGAGTTCAAAGTGAGCCCGACATGCGCCCGCTGGCGCCACCCATGCCTTACTGCTTGCAAAACACATGATTGCTTGGCTTGCTGGGCGAGGCTGCAGCAAGGCTGATTTCTTTGCTGTCCCCGCCCGCTCTGCAGGTGGAGTTCATGAACGGCTGCGCCCTGGTGCTGCCCAAGAAGGGACGGTGCGCCACCAAAGTGCCTGCCTGCCCCCCTGCCGATGCCACCAGCCTGCACCCCCTGCCTGCCTGCCTGCCCCCAGCCTGCGTGCCTGCTCGATGAAGCTGCTGGCGCCCTTCCTTGCTCCACGCCTTGTGCAGGCCGGTTGGTGACCCCCAGAAGAACACAGCGGCAGAGTCGCTGACGGATGAGGAGGTCATGGCCTGCTTCCACTGGTGGCTCAGCCAGGGCGACATCGCCTCCACGCGCGACTGGTGCGTGCATGCGCCCACAACGGCTGCAACATTGCGGCCTTGCTCCACTGGTGGGCGTGCGCTTGGCGTTGCCCACAACCTGCACCCGCCACCCTGGTGCGCTTTGCAGGGCCGCCAACCTGGCGTGCCTGAAGGGCATCGGCCGCAGCGACGACACGCTGCCTGTTTACCTGGCAGACCTTGCGGCGCCTCGGCCGCAAAAGGTCATTGGCGAGGCCGACTGCCTGGTGCACCGCACCGTCCTGCGGGGCGGCAAGCGCACCGCAGCAGGCGAGGTGCAGTGGTACGACTGGATCCCTGCCAGTGAGCCTGAGTTGTGCCCGGTGACGGCGGAGGCGGCGTACCTGGCCCTGAGATTCGAGATCCAGCAGCAGCCCGTCCCCGACATCAGTACCAAGGACGGCCTGCTGGAGTTGTGAGTGCAGAATGGCCTCGCATTCAATCCGGCCCACCAGCCTTGCGTTGTTGTTCACCCCTGCCGCCCGTCGCCTGCCCGCCTGCCGCAGTTGGTCCATGCCGCTATACCACGGTGCCAACTTCACCGCCGCCCTGCACTACGAGGCGCACGCGGCCGCCGTCACCAAGGTGACCGGGGGAGGGTGCGTGAGTGTGTGTGGGTGTGTGTGTGTGTGGG